CCCTCCCCCCCCCATACCCCTGCCCAACCCCAAACGTACCAGCTGGAGGCAGCTGTGTCAGCTGCCTGTTTAGTCTATAGCCGAATCTTTTCTGAATTGATCTGGAGCTTTTAATTAGTCTCCCGATTCGATTTAGGATTCAGAGATTCAGTCCCCGAATCAGGCTAAATCTCCTCTGAATCGAATCGGCTATTGAAACTTCGCAAAGCCCTATTAAGCACTAATACTTCTGTCTGGGAATTTTATTTATTTTCCTTTAACAGAAAGATGAATCTGTTTTGCTTGTAACCGAGTGAGGTAGTAACATATCACAGAGGCAGGCATCTTTTAAGGACAGATTTCAAAGCAGGATGCATATGTTGCAGTCTGCTAAGTATAAAAGAGTGACATTATGTTAAGAACAGAATTGAACAGGCACACGTTTTGTTTGTGCTTTTGCTAGTGATACCAAATGAGAAGCCTCTTTCAGCTACAACATGCTAACATTATGATTGTATGCATTTACTTTCAGAAAAAACACATTTCTTTGCAAACTGAGAGAACAGTAGCTTTCTGAGGCAAAGCATCTGAGTACTTGGACACAAAAAAGGTTTGGTTAGGTTTGATTTCTTGACCTGTCGTCACTTTTGCGATTCACTTTCTTCTGTGATAAGTATATGAGAACATAACACACTCTTGGACTTCAGAACCCAATGTGCATCATGTACAGAGCATCTTCAACCTATATATAATAAATACAGCATGGAAAGAGTTTGCTGCTCTAATTAGCCTATTTTCAGATACAGATGAATTGTCCTCTAACTGCTCATTTAAATCTAGAAGGGGGCACCTTCATTAAAATATTTCTATCGTGTCTTTTTTTTGTTACAGTTATCCTGTCTGGACTAAGAAAAAGTTAATTTTCCCTTTGTCCCAGAAGGCTGTCTTTGATTAAAAGCAGTAAGTTAAGAGTTATACTGAGAAGCAGTTTCATTCTGGACACTACTGACCCACATTAATTTCATTACCATTTTTCTGGAAAAAAATCATCTCAAAATGACGGCTAGTCTTAGAGCATATGCCTGAGGTTGTGCTTATTTTGTTCAGTGCTGGATCTCCCCAATGATATAGTGAAAATGAGAGTCACTAAGTCAGCGCCTCCACTTGGTGAAGAAGAGAGATAGGGAGCTAAGCTTTATATTATCCTGCTATCTTCTAAGCAGTCAGTCAAAAGACAGGATGTGAAATTAGAAGTGTATATACAGTGTTTTGAGCTAAATGTTTCCTTGAAGTTTAGATTTTTCATCTGTTTTTTTGTACCATACGTGCACTGGCCTGCAATGTCACTCTCAAAGCATAACACAAGTAGTTTCCTTCTACATACCAAATGACGTACAGTGGCTAACATAGAAAGGATTTCTGCCATCTGTAAGAATGTAAAAAATACCAATTACAGCAACTGAGCCTTGAAGATGTGCGCCCTCTCACTGTTCCTACTTTACCTGTTTAATTTTCTCTGCTGGCTCTTAGTCCTTTAAAGTGATATTATAGAAGACTATGGCTGTGTAAACACATTCAAATCATCCAGGGCAACTCTCCTCCCAGGGTCGCTTTCCTGAGACAAAAACTGACCCCTACACAAGTTCAGACAGAACAGCAAAGAGCCTGTATATGGATGTTGTGCTGCCCAGGATTCCCTAGAGCAGTAGTTCTCAACCTTTTTTGTACCAGGACCCATTTGTAAACATCAATGGCCAGTCCCAACCCAGTGACCCTCACTCCTGACTCGCTGCCCCTGCCCTCCCTCCCCCGTGTGGCATAGGGGGTGGGCGTGTGGGGCAGGAGAGACCCCAAGTAGCCCCTTGCAGGCTGGAACTCTACCAGCCTACAAAGGAAAACCCATGGTTTGCCATATTTTAAAGTTTGTTGATCCATTGTTTTTTTTAAGTTTGTTCATGACCCTTTCATATATTCTTGCAATCCACTTTTGAGTCATGACCCATGGGTTGAGAAATGCTGCCCTAGAGAATGCAGCCCAGAGCTTTTTGGGGTTTTAAATTTTGAGGTTTTTTTTTTTATGTGAAGGTAGGCAGAGATTTTCAGGGTCACAGATGGTAGGGGGCAAGATCTGTGTTGTGTGAAGCAGAGTCCTCTAGGCTCTCCCCTCTCCCATGTTGTGCTGGAGTCCAGCTAAGGCTGTGCAAGGAGTATGTTTGTATGCTTCCCGGCACCCAAGGACTGCAGAGTGATTCAGGCAGGGAACAAGCCAGAAGCAGAACATGCCCCTTAAGTGCTTCTGCATTGGGTTTTTCCAGCCATAAGCACCCAAGGGGCACGTTCTGCTCTCTGCTTGGCTGGGACTGACGCACGCTCTCCCTCCCCCACGGGAGGAGGAGAAAATCAATGCACACTGGAATTGCAAAGGACAGCTCTGTCTGTACAGAAGTTGTCTCCTGACAGATATTCTCCATGGAGAAAAACTATGAACTTCTGGGCTAGGGACAGAAGTTACACAAACTGGTTTAAACCTGTAACAGAACAGAAGTTCAGTGCACATAAACTAGTTTCAAAATGGCTGAAACTGGTTTAAGATAAACCTGGCTAAAGGCAGTATCAGACTTAAACTTAGGTCAAACTGGTTTATGGAACTTCTGTCCCAGACCCCTTCTTGCTTCAAGTTAAATCACAACCCCCCAGGCTTCCCAGGATGCTTTACAGCCTTGGGCCGTGCTGTGCTATCTGCTCCAGCAGAGCTGGGTTGGCCCTGTCCCTCTGCTCTCTAGCCAGAGCAGTGAGGGCTGGCTGACAAGGGGATGGGGGGTGGGAAACTCGGCTGGGGGGACAGCCTGTCAGGTGCAGAGCAGCCCTTGCCAGACTTTCCCCTGCTGGAGTGGAGGGGGTGGGGGCATGGGCCAGCAGACACAAGGAGGGGAGAAAAAGAGGTTTAAATCCCCTCCATGGCCCACAGGACCCCAGCCCAGATCTGCATGGTGGGGCTGCCATGCTTCTCTGGCCCCTGTGCCCCCCGCTCTGCTCACTGCTCGAGTGGGGGAGAGGGCAGCCCCTGCCAGGGTTTTCTCTCTCTCTCCCCAATCAAGTGGAGAGCAGGGGGCATTAGCCACACCCCAGCCAGGGCTAGCAGGGTGAGGCAGGGACGGTGAGGTTTAATACCCTCCATTCCTCCCTCCCTCCCTTGTCCCACTGGCACTGGCATGGGACCCCAGCAGCAGCCCCTCCCAGACCCACTTGGTGCTTGCATGGCGGGAGCAGGGGGCATGGTCAGACATGGGTCGCAAACTTGGGTTGTCAAATACTTTTGATTTTGCTTAAACGCTCGTTTCGCTTAACGCTCGTTTTTTCAGGAATCAATTAAGAATGCTAAGCGGGAGTTCCTGTACACCATTTGTGCATTAAGTTACCGTAGCAGCCATGCCCAGTTAGGATCTGATTTAGAGCCTTCCGTGTTTTTTTGCAGAAGGTCAAAACCAGGAGGCTTTACTGTTGGGTCAAAATAGATGCTTATTCTGAAAAGTGGTTTCATTCCAGGTTTTCCTCCAAGATACTACGCTATCATGTCCTACAAGGGCTTGTAAATGTATCCACAAAGGTATCTGGGAGACCAACCGGTGAGCTGGAAGTTCTTCAAAATCTCTATGGAAAGGAAGGTCTGGGCTCTGTATGTTGCTTCATTGAGGCGAATGTTTGGAGGAACAACATTGGCCAACACTGGTAACCACTTAATTGGTGTAGATTTCAGGGTTCCGGTGGTAGTATGCATCGCAGAATTTAATTGGACATCCGCACATTTGGTATGAGTGCTAACAGCTCAGACAGGTGCACAGTAGCCATTGAGAAGACCAGTGCCTTAGCAGTGATGTGGAGTACTTCTGCAGTTGTACCCCAGCTTGTTCCAGCAAGTTTGCACACTATGTTCACCTGACTCTTAATCTTTGCAGCTACTTTTTCGAAGACAATTACAAAAGGTTACAGTGCGGTCGATCATCACACTTAGGTAGGATGGAGTTGGATCAT